ACATTTTTATGAGAAAAATCATGTCTATGAAATATGTATTTTTAATATTTTTGATATTCTATGAGAACTTATGATAAACCTTGTGTTAAATTTTTATAGAGCAATAAATGTTTTATCAATAGTTAAAGAAAAAAAACAAAAAATATCGAAAATTTCAAATGATTATAAATAACTTGAAATAAGTACTATCACGTATAGAAATATTCCAAAAAAAAACATTTGGTAAAAATGTCAAATTAACTTTTTTTGTTAAAAGTAGAAAAATTTATGAGGAATTAAAGCGTCTTAAATTTTCAAACATTCAAATGTTACCTATGAAAAATAAATTTGTTATGAATTTGTAACTACAAAATAACTTGCAAATTTTTACGATTTTAACAAAGTTGTCAAAATTCTAACTTCAAACAATCATAATCTAACTGTGGATTTACGCTCAACTTTTTAACTAATAATTACACTAATAACAACTTATGAGGAACCTTGTATTCAATTTTCAAGTTTTTGACGAAACAAAAAATTATTGATCGACAATAATTGTTAAAAAAACTTAAGAAAGATGAAAATTCACAAACGTTGAAAATCCATGGTCACAATAATTTTTTATAATCATGTCAAGTTTTTATTTCGACAAAAGGCTTAAAAATCACGAAAATGTGCAGATTATTTTGAGTTAGAAATTACTAAAAACTTTTTTTTTTTTAAATGTAATATTTTACAATGTAATACAAGATTCCTTAAAATGTTATATACCTTTATCAAAAAAAAAAGTCGCTCTGCTGTACAGTAGGTTACAAGTGGGACACTGTATAGTGGATGGTATTAAATTTGAATTCAATAATATAATATCATTGTATAAGATAAACGATTCTGAGTGGAGACGGTATGTCAGTCTAGGTATAAGACATATTATATACTTGTCTATATTATTAAAAAAAAAATTGACCTATAATAAATTCCATAAATTACTTTATTCACAATAATATCATCAAATACGAGTACACTTAGTAATATCAATATATCTTAGGCTGACTGTCTTCGCTCAGAATTGTTTTTCTTATACAATGATATTATATCATTGAATTAAAATTTAACACTACCCATTACAGCGACCCACTTGTAACTTACTGTACAGCAGAGCGACATCCACTTACCCACCTTTTTTTTTGTGGCGAAGAACAGTTTATTACAATTAGGAACTAAGGATAATGAAATCAACTATGAATATGAAACCATAAAAAATTTATTAACTAAAAGTGTATTCCCTAGCTTATACAAACTTCTTCAAGTAGCCATGTCTTTACCTATTGCATCAGCTACATGTGAAAGAAGTTTTTCAGCTATGCGTAAGATAAAGACATGGCTACGCACTTGTATGTTGCAGGACCGCTTCAACAACTCGTCAATCTTGTACATAGAAAAATATGTTAAAATCGATATTGAAAATGTCATTGATGCATTTGCATCTAAAAATAGATACATTATTTTAAAATAAAATAAAATAATTATATTAATATTATAACTGTAGAAATTGTTATTATTTGATTTTAATTATTTCCCATTCATGTATAAGGAAGGAATTACATAGGCATAACATATTAACAGTTTAAGTTTAAACACACCTGCGGGTAATTTTTGTGGAATTATTTTAGCCCCCCCCTAAAAAACATCAATTCTCCGCCTATGTTTCATATAAAATATTTTCTTTGAATTAATTATATTATATTTGAATTAATTTAATTTAATTTAAGTCTTCAAATACAAAAGTTTATTAGCCTACAATGGTTTACATGTCTAGTGGTAACATTTGGCTAGAGGGAATTTGGTTTTTTAATTAATAATTTATACATATAATTTAAATGATAATAGTTATAATGTGGCGTCGTTGATCCATTGTCTTATATGTTTGTTGTGAAGTCAGCCATCTTGATGAAATTTGTTATGGTTTTTTCTTGTCCTGGCCCGAGTGCGTTTTTGAGTGAGGTGGTGTTTATGTTTGCTTTTGTTCTGGCGTTATGGTAAATGGGGCATTCTAGAAATATGTGATTAACAGTGAGTTCACAGTTGCATGTTTCGCACCTGGGTTTGAGCTCCTTGCGCATAAGATATGAGTGTGTGATTCTAGTATGTCCAATACGTACTCTGGTGACCATGGTCTCTTCATGTCGTGTAAGCTTGACTGGTGGGTCCGGCCATTTTTTAGTTGATGGTTTTATTTGTCTGAATTTATTGTTTTGATTGGTTTGTTTTTCCTATTGATTCTGCCAAAGAATATAAAATTTCGTTTTGAGGGCGTGGATTACATCGTCGTATGTTACATGCGGGTATATTTTAGTGTCCGGGGAGCTAGCCGCTTTCATCGCCAGTTCGTCTGCGAGTTCATTACCGGGGATGCCGATGTGTGATGGAACCCACATGAGTTTGATGGATTTGTCGGTTGAGAGGATTACGTTTTGAATGCTTTGGGTGAGATTGCATCTTGTATGTACGTTGGCTATTGAGGTGACTGCGCACATAGAATCACTTATAATGAGCACTTTATCGTGGTTTGAGGAGAGTGCGGTTAATATAGCTTCGAGTATGGCGAAAGTTTCTGCTGTGTGTATGCTGGAGAAAGGGTCTAATTTATGAAGACTGTTTTCATCCCTGTGGGTAATGGCAAAACCAGTTTCATTTGTTGTTTTGGAGGCGTCAGTATAGAAGTGGTAGTAATTTTTGAATTCGTTGTTTATTATTTCGTAGAACGTATTGATGATTATACTATGTGGTGTGTCATTCTTGTTGAATTTGATAAATTCTGTGTTTGAGGATTAATTGGAGCTCCTAAATGAGATTGACGAACTCTCTGAACAGTTCTTTTTAGATATCAGGGACATGGTTATTATGGTCAATTTTTTTTGAAATTTTGTCATTATTGATATCACCAATAACATGAACGCGGCCTCGGCATTTATTTTTAAAACGTACGCATCTCCATATTTTCTTTTGTACTCCATTTTTTTCGAAATGGTACATAAAACCTTCATGAACTAATATATTTGCACCTATTTCACTTTTTATATATTTTATAATTAATATATTATATAGGTAATAGTTAGAAGTAGCACTGTTATATTATGGTGTTGTACCGACTGACAACTGAAAACTGATATACTGTATAATATAGGTACTGAAGTAGTATAGATATATTGAATATAGTCTCATTATCTTTATTGTCTATATTATTTTAGATAGTAATATTAAGTTTCCGATTCTGATATATAGAAATTTAAGAAATCTATACGCTATAAATTGTCATACTATCAAAAGTCGCTCACGATCAATTTACGGGCTATACATTGACCGCTATCTATTTTCGCGCTATCAATTATCCGCTATCTATTGACGGGACACCAATAATACATGTACCTACTACTACATTATTCTGTTGCTATAAAAGAAACCATTTACATAAAATAAATTGTAACAATTACCAAAAGGTTGGTGGTCATATATACAACCAAAAATTGGGTAAATAATGCAATTTGGCCTACTTTGGAATTAGTACCTTTTGTACAAATTTGAGGAATTGGTACGTTTTGCTTCATTTTATTAAAATAACAAACTATTTAACATGGAAAATAACACATTTTGACATAATTTGGAAATAGTTACTTTCGTTTTATTTCTGTAATTGGTAATAGTACTAATAGTGGTAATTCACGAACTTTAGATTGATTTTAACAAAGGAAATAGTACGTTTTGTCATAATTTGATAGCACCATTCGATTCCCCGCCTTAATTTCTATAAGAATCAATACACCTATAACTCAATTTCTTCAATTTTAGCATTAGTATGTTTTGGATTGTCGCCCCTCAATTATATATGATAGAAAAATGGGAACTAGGGGTCATCTAAACTCGTATAAACAGTCCAAATTAAAAATGATGAAAGAAGTAAAACTTTTAAGGACCGTCAACCCGGGTGACTTGGAACTTGGAGGTGACTTGGAACTTGGAGGTGACTTGGAACAATTGCGTTATTTTTTGATAACAGCGGTTAATTTTATGCTAGATAAGGGAAATAAAATTCTGTCTCCACAAAAATATTTTTCGGAAAGTTTTGTAAAAGTTTTGTTATCATCGAAAATGTGTTATCTCTTATCAATAAGCCATGTGATACAACCATAATTTTGTAAAAAAAATCCAAATTTTCAAATCCTAATTTAAGAGCTTTGAAAGTGTAACTTGAGCTTCTAAAATCAAGGTATTGTTATTTTTTAGTGAATTCCTAATGTGTTGTTAGTGTTATTCGCTTAGTAGAATTAGGAAATAATATTATTTACATTTTTCAGGGTTGTTTTTATTTTAGGTAAAAAAAAAGTGGGTCACTTGGAACTATTATAAATGTATACCTGGCAGTCGTACGTACCGAAATTTACGGTATTAAATTTCGGTAATTATACCGAAAAAAAATGGTTTTTAACACTTTTTTTTTTTTAAAAATATTTGTAGCGTTCCAAGTGACCTTCCCACATATGATTAAATGCAATCTGCATTTGAAAAAACGCATGTTCCAAGTCACCAAAAAATCCGGGTGACTTGGAACAAGCACTTTTTATTTTTTTTTTACCTTAATTTACTTAAGACCTTAATTTTTTTTTTGCTCAATCTATTCCTTGGAGGTGTGCGACACTGCATGATTTTTTACAGAATTTAATTATCAATAATGAATGAGTTACAGTAGTTAAAAGGTGAAAATCGTTCCAAGTCACCCGGGTTGACGGGACCTAAAGGAAAAGATGCGAGTATATAATTTGAGTTGTAGACCAACCTATGCCGGCTGAAAAGAAAATTACACATAAATGAAAAGTTTGATACATTGGTAATTATTAAATTATATATTTATTTATAGGTAGAGGGGTACTATAACATGCATTTATTTTTGTAAAGCAAGCGTGACGTGTCCGTCGAATGGTTTTACTCGGTTTATTCGATTCATTCTTGACTATTGGACTCTGATGCTAAGATTCAGATGACCCAAGGCTCTCGTTTGAATCCGTAGAGCTATCACGATGGTTTAGATAGGTGTTGTCGGCAACCTGTTTACTTACACAAAACCTGATAAGATCTTTTAACGTTTCATTGCTAAACATATCGCGGAAAGTCTTCAACATATGTTTTGGACAATTATATTCACTGAGGATCGTTGTGAAATGTTTCAACGCGTACACATAAACGTTTTCAAATAATTGCAACCAGGATGTTTCGCTTAGGCAGCATAGACACTGTTTGACGTGGAAATCCAATAATGACATTCGATCTCGAAGTCTACCGCTAAATGTTGATAAAATGAACAAAATCAAATTATAACCTATAAGCGCATAAAAAGTGTAGGCGTAGGTAATATAAATAGTATATTATTAATTTAATTAGTTAAAGTTCTATAAAATTATTCTACACCTACCTATTCTAAAGGCCCTCTCAATGTTAAATTGTTTTTATAATAAAATTTAAATTTTTTATTCCACGATTTTTTAATAAATAGGTATTAAACCTGCGTTGATATAATATCGAACAATATTTGAGTGTTGTGAAATTTATGAAAAAATACATGATCCACGGAATGAAGAAAAAATTATGAAATTAATAGAAGGTAATGTGTAACATTTATTTTGTAGTTTCTTCTATTGTATATGTCTAATATATAATATACAATAAAACTATATACATTTATAAGCCCTAAAAATTACATTAAATTCTATTGTAAATATGTTTAAACTAGACGAAATATAAAATTGGAAAATTATACAAAAATAATAGATATTTAAAATAGGGATGGCACAATGTCAATTGATCGGTTAGAATGTGTTCAATTGACCACAAAGATTTTGACCGGTTAAAATCCAGTCAAAATAAAAAAAAACTTCCATGGTTATACTAAACATAATTTTTAGACAAATCTGCTGTCCAATATTGTCATTTTGTACTAATAAACGTTATGTTGGTCACACTAATATTTCTGTAATTAATTATCAAAATTATCGTCCATGGTCTTGTATGACCATGTATATATGTATTTTATACTGTTATTAATTAATATTGAAAGTTGAAATTTATGTTTATTCATAGATGTCAATATTTTATTTTCTGTTTATTAACTTACTACTATATTTATTATTTATATAATTTATAAAATATGGTTGTTATTTCAATTTGTTGATTGTTATTACTTAGTACTTACTATTGAAAAATATAACTTATTTTTCTTTAACTAAGTTGTTGTTTTATTTTAAGTTTATCATTACTTATTACTAACTATTAAACTAATAGAAGACTAATTATTTTAATTTATCTATATTGTTATTAATCAGTAATCACTGTTGAATGTTGATTATTATTAAAAGTTGAAATTGATGTTCTGTCAAAGATGTCGACATTTTATTTTCTGTTTATAATGCATTATTTATAAAAAGTAAAGACTGATATTTCATTTATTTGTAAACAAAATTGTATGCATTCATTATTTAATAGGTGTAAAAATGTTTTTTGTTACTATTTCATGGTTTTAACTTTTAATAATTTTTTTCCACTTAAATACAACATTTGAATTAAGGACGGGGAAAAAAAAGATTTTGACCGATTTTGACAATTTTGACGAGTCAAAATCTGGTAAATTGTCATTTAAAGATTTTGACTGGTCAAAAACCCAACATTAATTTAAGATACTTTTTGAATATATTCACTGATTCAAAGAGTGGTAAAAATTTTTTTTAACAATTCTACGTCATTCATTCTAAAACTAAAAGCTTATCATCACATTGGATGATACATTTTGTTTTGTTTTTGGACATTTAATAAAAATGAAATAAAAATATTATACCTCAACACCACGAAAAGTTCCATTAAAACCCATCGATAAAATACTCGTAACTTTATGACATAGCTGGGAGATATTTTTTTCCCGTTGACGTCATCAATTTGACATTCAACACTTTGGAATGGGTTGTCGGTGAATTTATCGATGGCCTCTGGCCGCTCAGCCAACAAATCAAATATCCAATTAAACACGGCTACGATATCTGCATTTTCGGCCAAAGATTCAAAAAATGTTTCGTCTTCATCAGAAGCGTGACCTTCCAAAAACAATCTAGCGTGCCTTAACACGGAATTGTGAACATGTTGAAAAGTCTGTAGTTCGTAAATGTCTTCAATGTGACGAAACATAAACAAAATGTCGTAATCAATCGTGCCATCGTATCCTCTGAAAACAGAAAATAAAACCACAGAATTAGAGCGACACAAAACAGACCTCAAATGATTTGAAATTGGCTTACAGTAAAAAACTAAAAACGGCAAACGCGACCATGGCGACTTCATATGAATGCAGTTCTTTGTTAGCGGCTGCCATTTTATAAGCTTCCATCAGACCGTCCACCACTTTTGTTCCGTCAACAAATTTTAGGCGCCATGTGCGGACCGTTGTCAGTGCGTCCGTAGCGTCTGGTCCCCAATCCTGATGTGGTTCGTTTCCGAAAACATATCTAAAATGTATAACACATTTGTTATCAGGCTAACCAAAATTGAACGTTACTATATGTCTATATATTATTATTATATTTAGGCATTTACCACGACGTCCAATAAAACCTATTTCTATACGGCTATACCGCGGTATTGCACTGAATATGGAAAATCGATGTAACCAATTATTGGCCTTTATGATATCCATTTTTATTTAGAGCAAACAAATGATTTATTTAGTACAACCCAAACAATTAATTATGTTTAACAATGCAACCAACAATCATATTATCAATACGAGAAATGTTACAATTCAAAATCAAGTTAAATTAAATTATAATTTACGGGTAAATGATAAACTTCGTTTTAAAACGGTGCCTATAAAGTATAGGTTATACTACTGCAAATTATTATTGTCTTCAATAAAGTGAATAATACATTTGGGCATCCAGTTTTATATCACAGCGGTATAATAGTTCCTACTTATGTAAGATTCTGAATGAATGGAGTAGGTATAGGCATGTGCACCCATAAGCAAAAATTGTGTTAAAAATATCTCAAAATGAAAGCTAAATAAAGGCATATTATTTCAGCATAATATAATTAATATAAATGCAATGATTATACTATGCATTTATTAGTAATTAAATGTTTTATTGTTATGTAGGTAGGTGTATATAATACTATATATTATAATATGTAAAAAACTAAACGTATTTTAATAAGTACCAGTAAAAAAAAAAAAATATTAAATGAAATATTAATAATCAAATTTAATATTCATTATTCAATATCAGTTTATAATAACTGTATATTGTTCTTTTTATTCTAAACTTAATATAATGTTGGATCCCGGATGTCAATAATATTTAAATCCCTAAGAAAACTATTATTGTACAAGTAAGTACATTCAAAACTAAAAATTGAAAACAATTTCTATAAAACATAATTTCACAAGAACCGTATTATCACGAAAACAATAAATCTCAAATTAATTTTCTTTCTTTGAAAATGTTATTATTAGGTAAGTGTATTATAAATCGATAAATCGATATATAAAAGACTAAAGTACCTAAGTCATATAAAACATACTATACAATATTCACACCATAATATATACATAACTATTATACACCTATAACCTATAAATATAACTATAACTTATAAGTTATAACATTTAAAGACAATTAACTCGTAGTTTTTGCTTTCGTAAAATGGTTTGGTGGGAAAACGGATTCGGGATTTTGGTTTTTATGAAATGATCGTTCGGTAAAATGGAGATTTGGGAAAACGTTTGGGGTACCAGGTCACGCATAGGTAAGCTTGTTGTTTTCTCTTATTAAATCCAACGCTTGGCGGTATCCTATTACTAATAGGTACCTGTTGATCTGATGCAACTTATAATGCCGCACAAAATTGTACAGCTTGTGGTACAGCTGAAGTTTGGGAGGCGTCTGATAATATGGGTCGACTTTTTCCAGGTCTTGTGACATCACGTCGTATATTCTGTCAAACGCGCGGTCCATGAGCCTGTCGTGGTACGTGTCTCCCACGCTGCTAGTCGACGACCAACTGTCGTCCGAGGTGGCGGTCGAGGATATCGTGTCATTGCAGCTGTCACCACCCGTCGAGGTCACGTCGTTGTTTCCAATCCGCTCGAACAAGTCGAACATCAGTTGTCCGCACGTCTTGAGCACCATCACATCTAAAGCCTCGGTCTGGTCCATGTTTTGGTCACCCGAATCGCATAACTCCACCACCTCAACGCACTCCATATTTTATTCGCGCTTTTTGATTTTTATAGTTACGAGTACCTATATAAAGCCGAAGTCCGGTTCGATGACTCGATTATTTATTATTGTACTTACTCGATTGTTATTGACAACAGAATAATTTATTTGTATTATTATCAAACGGCGTGTTTTTCAATTATTCCCAAGTCGTTACTCGGGTAACGCACAGTACATCCACTGATGTACCAGATTAATAATATTTGATGTTATAAACCTGTTCTTTGCTTTAAATTGGTTTGCTTTGGGATACTCATTATTTTCACATAAGGTACTTGGAATATCTGTTCCATCCTATTTTATGTATGTTCAGTTCTATTTTTATCGTATTCTTGTCACCCCATAGATAGGAGTGTCATTGTCTTCTCTCGTTGAACCAAAATAAATGATTAGTCCTCAAGCTAAGTTTTGGTCACGTTAACATGGGCTTGGATTTTTTCTACGGCGTAGTATTGTTTCCCAATTTTATTGAGAAAGAACCGCACCTGGAAACAGATCGCAAAATATTATCCACGCAGAGTGCATCAAACTGGAAAATAATAATTCAGCAGAGAAAAAGAAATGTATTACTGGCATTGAATTTTTATTAAGTATGTCTGTTACAGTTCTGAATGATTATAATTTATAACCAATTCATAAACATTTTTTTTTTTATATAGGAAACTGAATATTAACGTTATTTAACCATTCCACAAATAATAACTATAAAAAAATCAATACAAAATATTAGAATTGCACATTACATTATATTAAATTTTATAAAAAGTTGGGAACTTTTCATAATAATCTGTGATCAGGTGTAAACTACAAACACATACGATAGTAAATTGTGCATCAATATACAATATTAGAGTATTTATATTACTGGATTTGTGGTGCTCTAGAATCCAATATCATATCCTTAGCATCTCTATAATTTTATTTGCGTTTGGCGGTTTTTTATCGTTTACTTTCAGATGTTATATGAATTATACTCAAACAATAAATGAGAATATTAGTATATTAATTGAAGTATTTGATATAATGTCTCAAAATAACCTTCAATTAAGACTAGACAAGTGTTTATTCTTACAAACTAAAATTCAATATTTAGGTTATGAAATTAGCAATAAAGGTATTACACCTAACCCAGATAATGTGAACGCCATACACAATTTTCCTATACCAAAAAATAAAAAAGAAGTTCATAGCTTTTTGGGATTAGCTAGTTACTTCAGGCGATTTGTTAAATATTTCTCTATTATTGCTTATATGATTTATTTAAGACTTTGTTTTTGAGGAAGATCAATTGTTAGCATTTGAAAAAATAAAAGTATTTTTAACATCTTCGCCAGTTCTATGTTTATATTCACCATTATTGGAAACCGAATTGCTTGTGATGCTAGCCAGTTAGGATTTGGTTCAATTTTAGTTCAAAAACAAAAACTAATTTATTAAATTAAAACTAAATAAATAAATAAAATTTATTTTAGTAAACGCACTACAGATTGTGAAACTAGATATCATAGCAAGTATGAGATGAGCAAGTATCTACTACAACGGCCTATATTTTGTCTTATAATGCCCATTCCTGTAAATTATCGTATACAGCTGACAAAAAAAATTTGGATTTAATTTTATAGTTACCCTCTTTTCTCAAATTTTCCCGAGATCCTTTAATTGAAGATCGATTGATTGACATTGATCTTGCACATTGATGGACCAGGGTAAGTTTCATTTTCAAAATTATCTATGTCCTGCATTTCTTCATCTGAACTTGTAAAAGGGTTTGTTCCTAAGAAAATAAAAGTAATAATAAAAACGTTGTTATTAATTCATTATTGTATGTATTTAATATTTTATTATATAAATATCAATATCATACAATTAAAAGTAAAAAATATTGATAATTGTAAATTGTTACTACATTTACTATTGAGAATAAGAATGAAAAAGATAAATCTCAGTCATTCATTTTTATGTCTTATAAAAAACAATTTTACGTACCGGATTCAAATTCTTCGTAAGTTTCGACAACAATTTTTTCTCTTAATTTGGCTTCTTGTTGAACTTGAGCTTTTTTTCTTTTCTGTAAAGCATCTAGTTTTAGATCGAAACCCAGCATACAACCCGGACGACCATGTTGTCTTTGCAGTGTTAAAAATTCTTTATCTTAATTAATTTTTATAATTGACATTGCATCCACATGTGCAATATCAAACAAATCATTTATAGCCCATGAATAAATTCTTGTTTTATCTGTTTGTTTAACTCACTATTTCTACTTTTTTTTTTCAAGTGTTCTCCAGAAATCATATAACTTTTTAAATTTTTTTGAACAATATGAAGGATCGTGTGTAAGAAGTCGAGCTTTCTTCCAATATATTAAACACTCATCAATCACAAGATTTACACCATCGTTTAAATTTAATTTAACAAACCGCATATTGTAACATAAAACATTTAGACAATCCTTTTTAGATGGTAATTTACTGCCCGTTATTTTATTTTTTACCGAATTAATTAAATAAATATTTCGATTCGGCATATTGAAAAATAACGGAAAACACAAAATACGTGAAATCAATAAAAACCGTGATGGTGAACTGTCGACCGTCTGTCGTCAATCATTACGATTACTGAAGTAATATCGTTATTACTTATTACAATCGAGACATATTCGTAAATAATGATATAAGATTTAAGATTAAGAACTTTTCGGGTTTATTTGTACATTCCGAATAATAATATTATAGTTTATTGAGAAAAAAGTAAATTATTTTATTTAATGTCAAAAATAACCAAAAATTGAAAATTACCGAATTACAAAATATTTTTACTTTTATATTTTTTGTAATTGACAGTTATCTAACCAACAAAAATTAGAATACTTTTAAATGAACTATATTGAGTAAAAATGTGTTTATATTAGTCTTTTTGTAATTTTATAAATTCAATTCAAAAAAATTAAAAAATGTAAATTAACTCCATTTGTTCATTTTTCAACCCTTTTGCGGAATGTGAAGGGGTTGACATATCAAGTCCAAGTTTTTATAGAATCATCATTATGTAACTCTTAACAAAATAAGAAAATGCTGTGAGTTATTGATTTCGAAAATTATTTTTTTACCTCTATAAGGTTGGACCACCCTAATATATATATATATAATATATCGATTCATAATATGTGATAAATATCTATAATACGTTTTTAAATTATTTTTTTGAGATTTGGTATTTTTGAGAGGCCCTTTGAATAATTTACCTTCTTTGCTCTTTAGATCCCAGACCGACACTGCTAATTATCCTTCACAATTTTTAGCATTAAGAAAAAATTACCACATCAAGCTTTTAAAACTTTATCAAAAAAGATACTGAAATTTACCAACTATAAAACTGAAGATGAAGCTTACAATCAAATTCATGAAGAATTAATAATAAGTTTTTCAAATAACTGGGAATTTATAAAAGTGTTGATTGTAGATGAGTATGAAATAATGAATTGGGAGCTTGAAAATTACGAGGAGGATTTTGAAGGTGACTCTGAGAAAATAAGTCAAGTTATGTGTAATAGTTGTAGAAACTGTACACTGTATTATTACAAGTTATTGATAAAATATAATTCATTTAGTAACGCTTATCAAGTATTAACAGTTGCTTATAAGTATTTATTTTGTCTTCCTGTTACTCAAGTTGCCTGTGAACAATAATTTTCTTCTTTAAAGTCTGTAAAAAATAAGTTAAGAAGTGAACTTAGTAATGAAAATACAGTAATAGCGTAATATAGTAACTCCTATGCCGTAAACATTGAAATGTCAATACCGAATTAACTAAACAAAGATGTCAGCTTGTCCACAGGAAACATCTGTCACATGTTGAAAGACTGGTCTGTCAGCGACTTGACCGACAGTGACCATAGGGTCATAGGATTCACCATGACGGTTAACCAAGCCTCGAAACCCGTGTCCGATGAAAAGCGTTACATCCTTAAGTCGGCTGATTGGGATCTTTTCAATAACACACTTCTAGGTGAAATTGGTGGTATCTCGTACTTGTCTATAGAATCCTCGGCCATGGGCATAAGCCGAGCTCTGACCGTTGCGGCGGACCGTGCGATCCAACGAAGGAAATCTTGTGGATCCTCCGGAAGAAATATCTGGTGGTCCTCAGTTCTCTCCACGCTCCGTCAAAACCTAGCTCGTAAAAGACGAGATGGCCTTAGGGGCAGTAACAGACGAGAATACAATAAACTACGAAACGAATTCCTAACAGAAATAAGAAATCACAAGCTGTCTGCCTGGAAGTGCTTTGCGGGCGATTTGAATTCCGACCCATGGTGCAAAGCATTCAGATGGGCCAAGGGCAGTTACTCAATGCGCTCCATGAGAAGCTCAATGGCTAAGCCCGATAGGTTCTCTGACCTCTGACTGCAGGGAAACAGCTGAACTATTGCTGGACACGTTTGTCCCCACTGATCCAGCACAATACGATCTAGAGTTCCACGGCCCACTACCGCTAAGGGCCCCGCTCAGCCCAGACGACATAAAAGCCGCTATATGGCGTATGCGGACAACCGGAACCCCCGGTGCAGATGGCATCACCGCAGGCATACTTAGGAAAGCCTGACCGGCGCTCCGTGATACCATCACCCGTCTTTTCGGTAGATGTCTGAAAGATGGAATATTCCCGGATTTCTGGAAAACAGCTAGGCTCGTCATAATTCCTAAACCGAGTAAGACCGACACAGACAGTGTTAAGGCATTTTGGCCAATCAGCCTACTACCAGTTTTAGGAAAGGCCTTAGAAACACTAATAATAAATGACATAGGTAAGGAAACATGCCTGGACTCCTATACCGAACAGCATGGGTTCAAAACAGACCATTAGCGCCATCAGGAGTGCATACGATAAAGTCGATGAGTCCAATTCTAGACACATATTCGGAACTTTCCTGGACATCACTGGTGCTTTCGATAACGTGAAGTGGTCATCGTTGTTATCACAGATGGATATCCTGGGCGCATCACTAGGCACATCCAGAATTGTCAAATCATATCTCCATAATAGATGGGCTGACCTTAGATTAGAAGCAGTGTTAGGACTTATCTAGATAAATTCCATTATCTATTATCTTATCTAGATTAAAATCTACTGGTCATCTATTTTTTTTATCTTAGATTAAAACTTCAGTTATCTATATCAATTTATCTAGATAATTTTTATACATAGGTATTTTTTAATATTTTCGTATACAAGTATACATTTTTGTTCAAAATCAAAAACCATAGAAATATAATGTAACAGAATAGGTAAATAGTACAAATTTAAAGCAGTCACAAAGTATAAAATATATCTTGAATCTAATAGTTAATGGTCGTTGGCTGTTGTGTTATTTCCGTTTATTAATTTAATGTCTCTGCAGGTTATTACTTATTACCTATTAGTTATTTCTGATCGACCGTGGCGATGTCCCCTACTTCCGGGATTACCCGTAAAAACATACGGGTCTGTTTCGTACAAGACCCGCTTGCGTCACGCACTACTGCAGTTATAAATAGAGTCTTATCTAATATATATGATTATATATATATTTAAATATATTATACATTATATATAATATATATTATGATCCACCACCAATAATATCCATCTATAAATTTTATTGTTGGTTGATAATAATATACACAAATACACTACAGTTAATATAATAATATGATTATACCTACTTCGGAGGTTTGATTATCAGAACATTCAGAACGACAAAACACTGTCACAGTTTATTATACAAGTATACAACACGGACAGTAATTGTCGTCAATTGTGATTTTCTTGTGTTCTTGTTGTTTTTACCTATTATTTTTATTTCGGTTTTTGACCAGCTAAATTTAAGTATGAAGCGATTTTTAACTACAACATACATGAATGATTCTAAAAAATCCAGAAGTGTATCAACAACAATTGATTTAGCTGAAGTAACTATAGACGACCCAGATCAATTCGATGACGCTCGTGCACCAACAACAGAAGCGGATGGTTTTGAGGGAATAAAACATTCCTAAATTAATTTGTCTAACCATTACTTATTTGACGGCAAATTTTACGATATTGTGTCAAATATTGGAACAAAATTAATTGCAAAATGTGTACTTTGCCAAAAAACTTTACAATGCCAAAATAATTCTTCTGGAAATTTTCTAAGTCATTTAAAGGTAAGTTCTTGATTTTATTTTAACCATTTTAAGTAGGTACTTTGGGTGGTCATTCTTCATCTTTAAAAATTAATGATGGATAAATTACATTAACTATAAAAAGATTCTGAAAACATTTTTATAAAAAAAAATATTTTATATAATGGGTTGTTGGGTATCAATACAAATAATATACAATTTAAATACCTATCATTAGCTAATTTTGATTGGAATTAACAAAATACTTGGTAACTAATAATATAAAATATCTATAATATTGGTAGGTAAGGTATTATAATATATTTAATGTAAATAATGTAATGTACCTATGTATGTATACAAGAAAAATAATATAATTATAATGTACCTTGACAAATTTTTATTATTTTTTCACTTTACAGCTGTCCTTTAAATTAAAGAAAATATAAAAATTAACTTATTAAAATTTATATATGGTAACCTACTAAACCTATTGAAGTATAATATTAGCGTTAAAATAAATTTTAATTAATATTTCAGCTTAAACATGCATCAATATTATCAAAATTAGAAAAGTATAAAAATGAGAAGAAAAATGCAAAAAAGTCTAACCAGAGTAGACATGTGTCATTAGCATCTATGTTTCAGCCAAAATTACAGTTATCTCCTTCAAAGTCTATATCAAAGTGTCATGTGAGTACTGAGTATACTATAAGTATATAATTAAATTGTTCATTCAATCATATATTTTTATTTACAGATTATCAATTTAGTCTTTGATTATATCGTGCAAGAAATGAGGCCAATAGTTACCTGTGAAAAACCAGCATTCAGGCAATTAATAATGGGTCTCACTGGTATATCAGACACATCATTTCTTCCAGACTCAAAAGTTATCAGCAAAGAATTGAAATTAAGGTACGTGTCCTATGTTACAATGTTGACAAAATGTATTTCAGAGCAATCATTTATTTGTACAATGGCTGATATATGGTCATGTAATAATAAAAGTTATTTAGGCATGACCTGCCATTTCATTTCATTAATGAAAAAGATTTTAATAGACATTCGTATGTATTGGGTTGTAAGCGTATTAAAGGTAGTCACACATATTTGAATATTGCTGTGGTTATAAATAAAATTACTAAAATATTCAACATCAATAGTTCTAAAATTTCTCATTGTGTAACCGATAATGCATCAAATTTTGGTAAAGCCTTTAGAACATTTTCAATTCAGCCACAGTCAAATTCTTCCAACTCAAATAATTTAACAAATAACTGGTTTTGTAGTGATAAAGATGAATCAAGTAATGAAGAAAATAATTTAGAGGTTGATGATACTTATGAAAATATTGATATTACAGAATTGTCAACTATATTTTCAAATCCAGATGTAATTAATTCTTCTGATAATGAAGATGAAATCTGCTTACCAGATCATCTAACATGTTCTGGTCATACTTTGAGTTTAATCGCGACTACCGATGTAAATAAAATTGAAGACCATTCTTATAAACAAATATGAAAAATGTGTTTGAAAAATTATACTCTTTTTGGAATTTAGTCAGTAGGAGTTCTGTTGCATCAGACAAAATTTTTGATATATGTAACTGTACATTTCCGGTGCTCATTATAACAAGGTGGAATTCACTATTTTTTGCAGTTAAAAAAGTCTTAACTCATAAAGATAAACTTTTAAATGCCTTTGAGGAATTAAAACTAAAGAAACTTAAAATATCCGAATGGAAGTTCCTCGAAGAATATTTCTTAGTCATGGAGCCTTTAGCTTTAGCCCTTGACAAGTTACAGGGTGAACAATCTTGTTTCTTAGGATTTGTTGCACCTACAATTATTGCTTTAAGGCTCAAGTTAATTCAGTTTACACATTTAATATATTGTAAAAAATTGGCTCATTTATTAATTGTTAGTCTCGAAAAAAGATTCATTTACTTGTTTGACTTAGAACACCCAAAGAGTAAAGCTTTCATCTTGGCTTCCATCAGTCATCCCAAATTTAAACTTAGTTGGGCACCAGTAAGATACTTAAGTTTGTGTAAAAAATTATTCATTTCTGAATGTGAAATATTAAATTCGATTGAAAGGACGACCTCTGGTTTTAACAATTCTCATGATGAAACTGATGGCAGTGATAATGAATTCTATCAAATCCTTAATGAAAATACATGTTTTGAAGAGTCTACTGAATTTTCGCGTAGTGTAAAAAGTAATAATGTTTCAAGTGCACAGGCTCTTTCTTATTTAGAGTACAAAAAAAAATATTTTGATACATTAAATAATTTTCCTGTTGTAAAAAAAGTATTTTTAAAGTATAATACTACATTGCCTTCGTCTGCTCCTGTTGAACGATTGTTTAGCAGTGGTATACAAATTTTAACTCCCAGGAGAAATAGATTACACGATAAAACATTTGAAATGCTACTCTGTTGTAGGTGTTTGAATTTAAAAGAATAATAGTGTATTATAATTATAGTTATAATTATATTTGTAAAGTATTGTATATTGTATTAAACTTACCTTGTATATAATAATTAATAATAAAAACTTTATTATTAACCATATAAAAAAAAATATTCTAATAATTATTATTTGTTTCATTAATGTTGTTGACTTTGTATAATCCTGTTGAGGTATGTTTTTCATTTTTTTATTATTAACAATGCTATTTTAGATTCTGAGTGGAACGATGAATGTATTGATTTTACAATGATGTGTTTTTATTTTTATTTTTTATTTTTTTATTTTTGTGTCTGTGTACACGATAAGTAGTCGAAATAATGCTTCTATTTTCGACTTCAGTATCTTGTTCGATTGGAAAGTGAATCTAGTTGGTACTTTGGGGGTCAAAAGTATAAATTTCCCAGTAGTTTTCACAAGCGCCGGGAAAAACAACATAAAAATTAAGGAAAAACGGGAATTTTTAAGCAAAATTGGTTTTCCAAAAAATCGATTTTGGTTATTGGTGTAACTCTAAAACAAATGAACGTATATACATGAATTTTTCACTGGTTGTTTATAATTGCATTTTCTATACACGATAACATTTTCAAAATATTTTGATTTATTTTGAACTGTTTAAGGACATTTTCATTTTCCATTTTTTTTTAGTTTTTTTTCTAAAAATATCAATAAAATTTTATTTGTTGGTTGCGAAAGTTTGAAAATTTAATAGAAGGCTCCTAATATGTTGTTTCAAAGGCAGATTAAAAATATTAAAAATCCTTAGTCACAATTTTTTTTTATAAGCATTTAAAGTTCAAAAATTGACAAAATATGGAAAAATCACGAAAATTAGCAAATTATTTTGAGTTAAGAAATCGTAAACATTTTTCTTTTTAAATCTAAGATTTGAAAATGTAATACAAGATTACTCATAAGTTTGTCTACCTTTATCAATAAAGAAATTAAATTTTTATGAGCGTTTGAAATTCAAATTTTTACAACATTGGATGTTCACTCGATTTCTCATGTAGCGATTTCCTTATTTTGTTGTTATTCATAAACGAATAACTATAGATACATGAAAATTTCACTGAATGTTTATATTAGCATTTCCTATATACCATACAATTCTGAAAATATTTTGACTCTTTTTGAGCTGTTTACGGATATTTTCATTTTTCAATTTTTTTAGTTTTTTTTTCTATGAATATCAATAAAGTTTTATCTGTTTTGCCAAAAAGTGTAAACATTTAATACAAGGCTCCTGATATATTGTTACAATATCAGTTGAAAAATAGTAAAAATACATAGGCACAATTTTTTTTTATAAGCATTTAAACATCGAATTTTGACAGAATTTTTCAAAATCTCGAAAATTATTAATCATCGTAATTAATAAATTATAAAATGTTCAGTTTTTATAGCTAAGGATTAAAAATTTAAAACAAGATTCCACGTAAGTAGTTAATTCTCTTACCAGGTTTGAGCAAGAGTTCTAGGCTAGTAAGAGCCAACTCTTATCATTGAAAGGCGGTCGAATTGCTTAGTGCCCGTATCACAATCTCGATCCTCCGGTTAAACCCGGAATTCGGACGGTAAAATTAGTGAGTTAAGGGGATTGGAAGCGGCGATTTTCTGTCTTTGTCTAACACACGTGCAACATAGGATTATAGACGGGTTCTATTTCCAACGTACCGATTAATCTAGTGAAGCGATAAGAATTCTGAAAACAGATTTGAATTTGTCGTCAAGTCTACTTGAGATCGACTTTCCCACATTTTTGATATTTTGATTAAAACTTCTCCAAAAATTGAAATATGGCAATTTTTTAATTATTCTTTTTAATATATCATTTTTATGATTTTTGGGGGATAATATCAAAAATGTGGGAAAGTCGATCTCAAGTAGACTTAACGACAAATTCAAATCTGTTTACAGAATTCTTATCACTTCACTAGATTAATCGGTACGTTGGAAATAGAACAAGTCTATAATCCTATGTTGCACGTGTGTTAGACAAAGACAGAAAATCGCCGCTTCCAATCCCCTTAAGAGGAAGCCACACCTGCATGTGTTGTCTCCGTATTACAAATGTACAACATAGCAAAAACTGTTTTCGGACAAAATTTTGTAGAACTACCAAATTTTCACAAAAATACTTTTACTGTGCAACAACTTCCTTTTTTTTAATAGCATTATCCAATCATTTTTTATAAGCAAAAGAAAATAACAAAAAAAAACGAAATGTTTAGAAGCAAATAACTTTTATCGTAGGTATTTATTTTATCTAATATACGCTGTGGCAGTTAGTTTTCTCTTGCACATAGTTTTCTACCCTATATGTCCGGACGTTTTGGAACCACTACTACAAACACAGAAAGATAAAAGTTGTTACTTGTTCTGCGCATTACAATTTTTGGTATGTTGTACATTTTTAAGGCAGATACAACTGCAAATACGGGTTTTTTTTAAATATTTAAAACAAGGAGCCCCCTTTTGGTACCTATACTCGCAGAAGACAACAGTGTTTAGAAAACGCTGCTACAAGATGTTAGAATTAAATATATAATTATTACAAAGATTACCTGTCTCCTTGAGAAATTTGATCTTCTGCCTTGTTCCTTTAATAAAAAAAAAATAATAAAAATACTAATTATTTGGTAATTTTTGTGTATCAACTTAGATATATTTTTAAGAACATAATTTGTGGTGTTTGTGTACAAGGATGACAAATCCAAATTTATTTCTAACATCTAATATTCTAAAATATTTGTTCTATATAAAAAAATATAAATCCAAGCTTTAGCTTTGAATAATATTTTTGTTATTATATCTAAAATAAAGATGTCTTAATCGCTTTTACCTATGTTTTCAATTGCTTATTAGTGATTATAGATATAATTTAACTATGCTTACCATTTTTTACAGAATGTCCGAAATTTCTTGCTATCAAAAATTTTCTTTTACAGTTTTTATAAAATTTGTTTTCCAAATCAAACAATGATTAAATGAGAAACGTGCCTATCTAAAACGAGTACAACTGGTAATTGGACTTTGGTTTTAATTAACCAGGGATGAAACACATAAGCAACGTACTTAAAAAAGGTCTCACCAGTAATCCACCCTTTATCGCTGACAGCAATGGCCCATTTTTCAGGCATTGATTTTGCAATGCCTTTTGGCATGCGTTAACCAGCAAATACTAACATAGTTGGTGCAATGGCACCATCCGCAGATACATTTAATAATGCTGTTATTTGTTTTAAACCAGTGTTCAATTTGGGTTTGAGTGACTTGGCTCTTAGATTTGGTCACTTTGTCAACAGTTCGCTTGGCCACAGTAGGGTGACGTTTCATAAACAGCTTAAGTCATTTTTTGGATGGATTTAAAATATTAAGCAAATGGTCAATACCCATTTTTTTGGCTATCTTTCCAACAGACACCAATAAATGTCTACTAACAATGGGAAAACCTCTTTTACTCATAGTCTCAATCCAATTAACTAGTAAAATTTCATGGTCCCCTAAAGCAGGAGGTGGTCCAAGTTTCCTATTTTCAATAGTTGTTTTCCCATCAAGACTATTTTTTAGGCTGGACCTGGGAACATTGTATAGTAAACTTGCCTTGTACACAATAAGTTCTTTGTTTTGCACTGCATGCACAGCCTTTTGCATGTCTTGTATATTATATTCAAATTTTGGTTTTGAAGCCATTTTCATAAGTGTGATTTACTAGGTACCTATTGTAGTTAAAATACATTATATTACACCTAGGTACTTAGCAGAGGTAGGTAAATAAAATAACAGAAATTAAATATATAGGTAGTGCCAAAGACTGAATTTCAGTATCATATGTATGGTACAGTGAATGGCAATTTGGTATAATTACTTATATATTAGTTATATTAATAAGCTACCTATAGGTACTTACTTTTAAAACCCGATGCACAGACGACTATCTAAAGAATACCAAATTAAAAAACAATTTTTAAATTTTTAAAAAAAAATCGAAAATATTCTTATTTGTTATGAATGATAATACATTTTTAATGATAATAAGGATCTTATCAAATTAATCAAAATATCAATATTATGAAGTATGTTTATACCATTATGCGTGTAACCAAATAACAGCTTAGAAGTTCTTTGACTACATTGATAATAATATATAATGCTTACTATATAGACACCTTATCTATGACGTGAACAAAAAAATTGCCAAAAACTGGGTTAGTGTCAAACACTGGTGCGTTACCCTAGGTCTTTGCCCAATGCACTTTTTAAAAATACAGTCGAAGTGGTAAAATCAAAGTTGAAGTTAAAAGTTCGAGTTATCCAATTTCGAATGTATTATATTGTATATTTTAACAATTTTCCTTCCCAATTTTACAGGCTTAGGACTGACAACGAAATTAAATTGTTGGCTTGGTTAAAAATTGTTTCTCATACATTTTTTTTTACAATATATCCAAAATAACTCAATACAAATACGAAAACTACGAATTACATTTTATTTAATATTATATGTCCACGTTAGTGTACACTATTAATACATTTTTTTTAAAATTATAATATGTCCAAATAAGTATAAAAAAAAAATTACGAATGACAATTTTATGGCACAAAATTGTGGGCGATTACTTTCAAATATTCTGGTATAGATAATCATTTTGTTTTAATTTTGTCCAAGTTTGCAATATATATTTCAATTTGTTTTCTTGTTCTTTTCGAGGTGTGTTTATTCGATTTTCTTAAATAAGTTTCACTTTGGATGTCTAACGTTATATTAATAACTTAATGAATAGAAGGATGTGAAGCTTAAAACTGTGAGTGTGGAATGATTCTGGCCCATTGGTCGTTCTACATTCCTCTGAAGGTTTATCAGCCCATAAAATTGGTGGAAAACCCCATCTGAGCTTACATGAATGTCAAATATGTAATTGTTATGGCCATATATTTATGACCATCATCTAATAATATACATGGCTTACCTTTTTCAGTCCCAAACTTTTTTAGAATAGATAGATCCATTTTTAACACTTGTTAGTTTCACAATGGCACACTTTACTGAACAAAAATATCAACACGTTTTAAAACAACCAACAGTTAACTGCAATGTCAGCTCAAATGTAAAATCCGCCTTTAGTCTAAAACAGTATCGTCTTGACGCATACCTATCTGATATATTATATACAGTTAAGATAAATAAACAATAAAATATTATCTCGATAATAATTTCGTATATTATACAATATAATAATAATTACTAAAATACCCTGTTATTACCAGGGGCGGACTGGGAAAACTTCAGCCCAGGCGGAGAAGAATATGAGCGGCCCAACTTTTTTTTACATAGTTAATGAAAATGTTTAGTTGTCTTTATAATACCTATTTACTTAGTTTTTATGTTAATAAGTTCTAAAATTCTGAAATAATAGTAATATAAGTAAATCATGTTACAGAAGAAAAAAGTTTATTAGAACATAATGTAATTAAAATTTATGTAAACATATTTAGCATTAAAGTTGATGTACTTTTAAGGTAATTAATAATATCGGATACTTCTACATCTTCTAACATCTGTTTTTCAATTGACATAATCAGTAATGCTTCTAAATTTTCTGAGCTTAAATTAGAACGAAGACGATTTTTTGTTATTTTAAGTTTACTGAATGTCCGTTCACAATTCACTTGTGTTACAGGTAAAGTTAAAAAAAATTCATAAGCTTCACAGAGATAACTATAAGATGAAATATGTAAATTTAATGAATATAATACTTTGTACACACAGTTTAAGCAATTTTTCGGATCATGATCGATACTTAAAGAACACTTCTTCTCCTGGTAGAAATCATTACCTACAACAATTTCAAGTATTACATGCATAAATAATTCATTAATAAAATTTAGGAAAATATTTATCAGTTATTATTAAACATACCAAATAAATCTTCTAATATATCAGAAAATTCATTAATTGATTCTTCATTATTATCATCATCTTCTGAAACATATTGCTCTTGATACATTGTCTGAGTGCGTTCTTTAATTGATGTAGATATTTTTGGAAAAACTACAACAAAACTCTTTAACTCTGAATGAAGTTTATCTTTTGGAATGTTTGACACTTCAGATAAATATGTTAAAGCTATGTTTGGCATACTAGCAACCAAATCAAAATTTTTTGGAATAAAATACTGAATATCAGCTATTAACTGACTGTTGGCAAAAAATCTTTGATTTAAACTACTTATTATTTGGTCTTTTATTTTTACATATGTTCTAACTCTAAACTTATCAATATCAACAGACAAAACTTCGTCTGAACATTGTTCGTCGAAAAATGATTTTTTTTTTTGCTAATTCTTGAAGTTGGAAATGTATTGCTGATATTAATTTCATCAGGAAAATTTAAAGTACACAGTTTTTCATTCATTTGTTTAATGAATTCTTGGGATTCCTTATAAATAGTTTCAAATTTTAATTTATTAATTTCTGATTTAGTCACTTCTACCATATCCCATGCAGTCAACAGATCCATGTTTTTAGTCTGCAAATATCTTGAAGTTGGTCCAATTATTTGAAAAATTTTCATAAAAATATGAGCAGTCAGTATTAATTTAAAACTACACAGTTTTTCAATCAAAGATGATGCCTCAGAACAAGTTTTTGAATTAAAATCTGGAGACTGCATTACAAAATTCAATGCACTAATGACAGTCAAAAATAAACATTGTTTTATCAATTATTTTCACAATTATGTACTTGAAGATGTTATTATTATTGTCTACATTATAATAATACTGTACGGTGACGATAACTGTGAGACAGTCTCATGACGATGAGCCACAAAAAGTGCAAATGTATAGACGCTGTGTTCGTTTGTCATCCAGTCCAGCCGAATTCTTACATTATTTTTTACGTTGATTTATTATACAATTCGAAAACTCGACGCTATTTGATAACAATTTCTTGGACACTCACGTCGAAATTAACCACTTCCGCGTAGATCAGCGGGACGACCGGTCCCCATCCAATTGAATACGACCACAGATACATGCACACGAGTATGATGTGCACGTATTTGTGCTACTCGTTCGATTCGATTGGAGAACTGCAGATGTCTGTGATTGGATAGAATGACTGGTATAGCATCAGCGTCGCCAGACACGTGCCCATACTGATGGCCGACGCAATTAACATGAACTTGCTGCCCAAAAACTCAACTAGCTCGACCGTGGTGAGACACAGCAGGACCTGCGGGAAACCCGGAGGACGCGTTATTGTTACCGACTAATTTTCTCTAATGAGAACCTTTCATATTTGGAGTGGGTTTATCGTCAATCAAGATGTATTTGAAAACACGTTTTTGTCAATTTTACTACGCATTGAAAGGGACAATTAAGATACACTACTTACCTAGCAAGTTTCGGAAATGATTTAGTAATAAACATACTGTCAAACAAGCAACTTAAAAAATATATTTTAAATAAAGATCGTATTTTATTTTCATACGAGGAAATTTAGTTCAAGACATTATTAATCTTACAGATATTCTGGATCAGTGATTCAAGTATAGATATGGAATAGCGCAGTAAAGGGATTCAATTCCCACAAAAACAGGCAAAACTTAATAACACAACTTAATTAACTTGTTGGCCCATGGGACGGCTGATAAATGTATAGAAAAAAAATAGTTACCCCCGGCGTGATTGTCGTCACGTTAATGTTTTTATAACAGTTTTACGTTCCTACCCAGCTATATAATTTATGTAAATATGTAATTTTTTTTTTCCGAAACCGCTCACTTGGACCGCGAACACTATCGTAATGATTTTTTGCGTGTCGCCGTACACGCGTTCGTCGCTGTAGCCAGCGATTTCTGTGGTCAAACCGAATCCGCCGATCACCGATTTGGCGTGAAACATCGTCGCACTCGCGCCGCAAGTCTGCTGCAGCACAACGAGTCTTGCGCCGATGTCGACGATCCTCCGTGTCAGGCGGCTTCTGTTGTCACTTGTCACCGATCATGCACTCGAACACAGATTGCGAATGATGATTACTGACCGAGACCAATACGTCCCCACAACAACTGAACAACCGTATTTACTTTTGGTTATTATTTATTAATAGCACAGTTACTATTATACAGCCGTTGCTCGCTTATCTCTGATAACTCAATATCGCAGGGTTTCCAAACCGGTGTTCCGCGAGGCCCATCTGGGTGTGCCGATAAATTTCACGACTATTAATAAACGTTTATGTACAATTTCGGTAATTGGTTAAAATAGTTTTAACGTTTCTCTTATCGGGGATATTGTTCACTATTATTGTTTCGATATACATTTTACGTTACCAACTCTGTACCAATTCTGTCATGTACTCTTGTATTATTATTTATTTTGTATACAACAGCTGTGAAGTCTTCGACTTATAAAATCAAAAATTATTCCATCATATTATTGCAGTACAAATTATTAATAATCCTATTTTCCTATCGGCCCGTGCGCGCCGGCGACCCGGGCGGACTTTTTCGCCTCTCCGCCCGGGCCAGTCCGCCCCTGGTTATTACTTATTATTTAGTTTATGTCTTATAGGATATCGATCTTGAATTGTATGTCTTTACTGTTTATGTTATACCTGCATAGTCCATAGACATTAGGAAAATACGTTTATGAAAAAAAAAATTCATAATAATGTTTATAATGTCATGTAAATACAGTTGAACTTTGTTAACTCGAAATTTTAACTTCAACTTTGAGTTTACCACTTGCATTTTTAAAAAGTGTATTGGGAAAATACATATATTTCACGAAGCGCAATCGTGCTGCATTTTTTGTAGGTAAAAAGGTAGGACGGGCGCAATCGTGTTACAGCCCTATTTCCTACATTTATAGTATTATTGGTTTTTCACATTTTATCTGTTCTTCGTTGAATTAGCATCTCACAGAGTTACTGTTAAATATTTTATTTCATTGTAAAAAATGGTTAAGATGAATGTATTTCCAAGTTCATATGAACAATTTTTAAAAGCTTAAAAAACTGTGTCTGATGTGTCAGAATCAGAGTTTTATAAAGAGGGCTATTTATCCATTGTTGTACTGTTGGAGTCGTCAATGCAAGTAAGTTTTACCATTTCAATTGAAACACAAATGCAATTAGTAGGTCTTATACTAAGAATATTATAGAAGTATTTAATATACTTAAAAATATTTTATCAGGAGCTACATACATTGGAGTCCAATAGACACAAACCAAAGTATGATGGACGAAAATAAAACGCCGGAGCAAGAAATTGAAACACACATAGAAGAGGTAGGATATGCAGAAATACAATTAGTAAATCATTTTTAAGTTAATTAATATATATTCTAAGAGCAATTTTTAGGTAGCTCAATTAGGGTCATATGCCGATTTTAACACGTGAACCGTAATATAACTGCCTGCAGTTATGTTACATATGTTATATAATACTACATAGTGGTGTCATTAGGGTAGGGGGGGCAACTGGGACATTTGCCCCAGTCTAGTATTTACATCAACCTTAAGTCGGCACATTTTGTTATGCTAATTTATGTTTGTAGTTTTGCTCTATGTTGTAAGATAAATAATGTTACTAAAATGTCATTTATATGTCATTTATTTTTAATATTTTAAATTATAAAATGTATAATGTTAAATGTAAATATATTCAATTAAACAAGTAGATTAACATATGCGGTATTATGTAGTATTCACCTAACACGTCTGTACATGGGCGCTCGCAGGAAATTTATCAGGGAGGGGCATAATGAAACCAAACACAAAAAAATATACGTTAATAAAAGTTTATTCCTTGTAAACTACAAAATGTGTTAGAATTATATGAAATCCAACACCAAAAAGAACATTAAAAAATATATTCCTTACAACCTAAAAAATGTGTTAGAATTACATGTTATTTATTCGTTATTAATTAAAAACTGAAGTCTTCGTGGTTGTTCTCTTGCAAACCTTGTTATTAACTGTTCAATTAATTTATCTTTTCTTATATCAACTCTTTCACGATGGACACTTAACATACATAATCGGTCTTCACCCGTCGTAGATCGAAGCCAAGTTTTAACCCTTCGTAAAGTGCTAAATGACCTTTCGGCTGCACAACTTGTAGCTGGCAAAGACAGAAAAATTTCTAATTCAATTTTAATACCAGTGAAAAATATTTTGCTATGTTCTAGTAAATCTATTATGTCCATACTTTGGCAGTCATTTTTTTGTCATAAGCTATACCAACTTTCACTTTCAGCTAACAGATTTTCAATTTTATAAAAATTATAAATATTAGTTATGCTGTCAGTGTACTCTTGTTTTTTCATTTTTATAAATAATGCTGGATGAAGGTGTTGTAGTGAAAAAGCAACACTATTACTTTTTTCAAATCTTTCTTTAATACACTGAATTATTGAATCTAGATAAGGTAGACAAATTGATACTCGATAATAATCTTTGGGAGATTCATAAGAATAATTGATTCTATGTGATTGTTTTCCAGTTATTCTGGGACATGTAATAGTGATTTCAAAATCATCTGCTATAGATTTGGCATCAGTAAATAATAAATCAAAGATTTCATTTGCATTTGTTCTATTGTCTTCTAACATTTTTAACAATTCCTCTACATGTTAATATTTGTTAAAATATTTGTAACCGGTTCTAAGATAGCGCTGTATTTTACGATTATTTTCATACTAATTATAAATGAAAAATTTAAGGTTGAAGAGTATAGATATAGTGCACGCTGTCTTGCACTCAAAGAAAAGTTCTGTGTAGTATAGACAAGACATCATTGTTATCGATTAATAGTGGTGGTTTTATATGTCCAATATATGTACACCTAACAACAGAATATAGTCTTCCCTATAGTGAAATTGTTAATACGATTAATTGAGTATTATTCATGTATCATGATAAACTAGTCATTAATATAAACCAATACTATAACACTTCATAATATATACTATATACTCATACAATTATACAAATTAAAAATATTGAAACAAACCTATTTTTCGTATCAATATTTAAAATATTTTATGTGTGTAAAAGCATAACTAAATATGTAAATATTAATTATGTATGTAATTAAGTATTTTACAGATTTTTATTAATATTTCTTGCTGGGTATCAATAGATGTACTTATTATTTTAAAAAATGGAGCATAATGAAAGTACTTTAGTCGAACTTACATCATTTAGTAACGAATTATTTGAAAATGATTACTGTGAAAATCCCAATTGCTATAGTGGAAATTTAAGTGTAAGTATAGATTTTAAATATTAAAAAAAAAAATAGATGTAACCAATGTAGTTCGAATAAATTATGGATTAAGTAACTATCATATAATAATATATTTATTATTTTTGCAGGGTTTAATTCCAACGTCGAGTTTACAACATAATTATTTAAATGATGATGACTGATGAGTCTTTAAAACAATTATTAAAAAAGTGGGAATTAGAAATTTTATACCAAACATGTATAGGTAAATATATAGTTTCAATTATATTTACATGATTATATATAATCTGTTATGCTGTTGAAATATTTAGATCAGTTAGTGAATATAAAAGTTTTAAAAATTATGAAATTTGAGCATGCCAATGAATTGTTAAAATCCTATCCAGTAGGAACAAAAGTAATTTTTACTCATGAGTTAGAAAAATGGCAAAAAAAAATCAAGTCTTGCCGTTGGATCTGGATAGTGCAAAGCATCATAAGGAATTGTGTAGCATAGAAATAAATGAACCTATTATACAGAATATTATACAGAAACCATTTAAGAGCTTTGTTTTAACTGAGGTTTTAAATTCTTCTACTCAAGGCACTATGATTATAAATTACTTTAAATCAAATAATAAATTGAATGATTCAATTCGTACAATGCTAGTGGATGTAATAATTAATCATGTCATAACTCTGAAAATATCAATGTCAGTTAGTCTTGCAGAAAGTATTGCTACTCAGATAGAAGCTTTGTTTAATACAGAAGTTAAAGTAAATAAAAATAAAATTTCTGATTTCTATTACTTTCATTTTAATATAATATTCATGCAAAATTATCTTTTAGGATACATATTTCATGAAAGGAGGTATTCATAAAAATCCTAAAGGAAAGTTATATGCAAAATTTTATAACTCGATGAGGCTCCTTAAATCTAGTGGTTTAGTTGATAATAATAAAAGAGGTACAACTGAAAAACAAACAAAAACTTTAAGACGATTTGGTAGGATTTTTAAAATTATGTGATAATGTGAATTTTTCATTAAAATTAACAATATTTTTTTGTATTTTCAGAATGCGAGTCAGATATTCAACATATTTTGGATCAAATATTCTATGATACTGACATCACATTTCCTGATTTACAAAATGTATGGAAAATAACGACTAAATTCAGACTGAATGACATACAGAAATCATCTTCCACTGATGCAATCATAAAAAAATGGACAAACTATAAGGCACCATTAGGATTTAAATTAGTAAGTTATATTTTTATACTTAAATATCTAAGTACATGTTATGTTTTATTGAATACCAGCTAACTAGTTAGTTATTTGTTGATAAATTATTGTAATTATAAATTATGTTAATGATCTTAATTAAACATATGTTTGATTTTAGATTGATATTGATTTCAATACATTATACCCGGACTTCAGCAGTGACTTTATTTCCTCATTTGGTGAAAAATGTCTCAAAATATTTGAAGATAAAATTAAGGATCCTTCAAGCCGGACATTGTTTGAGCAGCTAAAGAATACACCTAATATTAGTGAAAGTAAGAAATTGAAATAAATAAGAAAATTTAATCCTTAACATATTTTATAATAGAATCAGTTGTTAAAAAGAAAAAAAAACAGACAATTTTATATTTGCATTAATTGTTTTCATTCCTACCTATAATAGAAAAACTAAAAGCAGCTCTGTATTATGTGTGACATACAATGTTTGGATTTTTAGCTAACAACTATGATAATTCAAATAAAACAATTTTTTCCATGACATATAGTTTCTCTAAAATTGTTTACTTATACCTACTTATAACTATGATGCATTTTTATGTGGCTTGCATAGTGAGTTTATAATTTATATATATATTTCAGTTAAATAATATATAAAATAATTTATACTCTTTTGTGTCCCTTGATATTAACAAGGTTGATGACCTCTGTAATATAATGTAACAACATACAAATTATTTATGCATACTATCTAAACACCATAAACATTAAACACATTGTGCAATCATATATTCATTATTTCATATTATTGGATATTGTATTAACTATTAACTATATACTGTTATTTTGCAGATGGAAAAAATAGCATCATATTTTGCTTATTCCACGCTGTATTTGTGCCCAGTGGTTGAATGGGGGGGACGCGGGGGGACGGAGTCCCACTTCTATTTTAAAAATATTTTAGCGTACCCCTTCTAATTTCTTTTAATGGGACGCTGGGGACGGGAATCATTTTAAAAATTGTACTATGGAAATTGTAATGGAAATATTTTTATTTTAGATTCTGAGTGAAACGATGAATGTATTGATTTTACAATGATGTGTGTTTTTTTTTTATTTATTTATTTTTTTTTTTTTGTCTGTGTACACGATAAGTAGTCGAAATAATGCTTCGATTTTTAACTTCAGTATCTTGTTCGATTGGAAAATGAATATCGTTGGTGCATTGGGGAGGTTAAAATAGTAGTTTTCAAAAGCGCTGGGAAAAACAAAAGAAAAATTAAGGAAAAACGGGAATTTTTACACAAAATCTGTTTTCGAGAAAATCGATTTTGGTTTTTGGTGTAACTTTAAAACAAATGACCGTAAATACATGAAATTTTCAGTGGTTGTTTATATTTGCATTTTCTATACACGATAACATTTTCAAAATATTTTGATTTATTTTGAACTGTTTAGGGACATTTTCAGTTACCAATTTTATTAGTTTTTTTTTTTATGAATATCAATAAAAATTTATTTGTTGAGTAAAAATACTTGAAAATTTAATACAAGGCTCCTACTATATTGTTACAATGGCATTTGAAAAATATTAAAAATCCAGATCACTATGTAAAAAGTTGGATTAAAACGGGTAAAAGAAGTGCAGAAGAAACAAGATGTCCAAAACGAGACGAACATGACATAGATCATTCATATAAACATTTATGGGCATATTTAAATTTATAAAACAAATAACAATTATTATTATGTATTTTACAATATTTTATTTTTAATTTTTAAATAAAAAGGAATATTTGTTTATTGCTGTATGGTGTAAAATGTCATTGTAGCGGGAGGGGGACATATGCTACCACTTAACAGTAAGACATTTAAATGTTCGGGGACGCACATATATTTTATACTTTTGCATCCCCCTTCTATTTTTTTTCCAATTCAAGCACTGTTTGTGCCAACAAGTAGAAAAGTTACTCGAGATGAAAATGGTACAAAGAGTCAAATCAAATACTCAATCAGGGATTCAATGAATAGTTTTATAGTTTTTAAAAACTCTATTACCGAAGTTGAAGATTATATATTATGTCGTAAAAATGAAAAACAGCCTATTCAACCTTTTATTATTATTATAGGTACTTCAGTTAACCCCAAAGAAATTTTTATATTTTTCGACTGTATTAAATACAAATTATTTTCTATAACATCTGCTGTTGATATATGTTTTAAAATTTTTCATTTGTTTAACTTGGAATATCCAGTGCAATCTTCAATTGTCTGGCTGTTTATTCAAAAATATTTTTATGCTATAACTACTGTATAATATGATAAACCATTCCATGGCTTAGGACAAATTTTAAGTGATTTGCAGGCTCGGACTGGCCCGGACCGCTGATCAGCGATTGCTGACGGGGCCCTCAACTAGTCGGGGGTTCGGGGCCCTTGGCTTGTCGATTTATTATTTATTACATTTTTGTTTTATTAGATCTCATAATAATTTAAGAAATACAAATGCAAAAAGGATCAAAAAATCTTTTTACCATTTTTAAATAATTATAAATAATATTACTATAATATAGTATATTATGTATAATATTATATAGTACCTAGCTGGTAGGTAACATTTTTCGCGGAAGAATGCAAAAGCAGTACCCGCGGCGTCGTCGCCCGTCGGTTTCAAACTGAAAAAAAAGATGCTAACATATTACTATGTAGGTATAATAATATGGTATAAGAGTACACAAAACCAGTATAATTTCGACTTCCTAATTGACAGTATTATTATTTACTATTTAGGTACTATTAATAAATTTGTCATTGGTTGGCCGCCTGCAAGCTGCGATACGGTCAGAATTGAAATAGTATTAGTAGAATAAATGGTTCTATTTCTGGAAATTCTGAACACTTTTATTACAGATAACAAAATAAACGTATTGCTGGTCTACAGTATATTTGGGTGATTAACGCTAAAATTAGCAAAATTGTTGCGTCAAAATATTATTTTGTCAGTATAACGCGATTAGTTGTTAGATGCGTATCATAATTTATAATAATTGAAGCCAGTGTCTACATTTTATTTTAATAAATTGTGATTTTATGTTAATTGTTTATTAATTGTATATATTGTAATTTGTAATGCATAAAAGAAAATATCAGTGTGGTGCTGATAAAAGGAAAGCAAAACAAAAGGAAGAATTAAAAAAATGTGCGAATGACCAACGGCAAAAAAAACTTTGTTTCATTCCACAAACGGAAGGTAAGACCACTTTTAATACTCAGTAATGTGCCCTCTGTGGAGGGATTCTTCGATATTCCTTTTTGTACAAGAAAATGTCTTTGGTTTGCTAAACACCTAAGTCAAAACTCAAAAGTCATAAATTGGAATAAATCTAAGGCACATGCAAATAATGACGGAAATTAATTTTCTCTTGTTCGTTGATTTTAATAGGGAGAGCAACAGTCCCGCTCGAGTCACTACCTAATGATTGTGAGAACTATTCGGAGCCCTCTAATACATCCAGTATTTCTGAAATTAATTTGAACGAATCCAATGACAACAATATAGTGTGTGATGATATTAGTGGTCAACAGTCAAGAGAAAATGTCGTTAACAAACATCAAACAAATCTTAGTTTTAATCTACAAACTGGAGGTAAGTCCATTATTAAATACTACAATAAATTTAAAAATGTTCTCTACCTAATAACAATAAATAGCATACCTAACTAAAAATTAAAATAACATTTTTATTACAATTATAAAACTATCCTTTTAGTATTAACATAAAATATTGAATAATTTATTGTTCATGCTAACACTTTTATTATAATTAATTTTCTCTTTTTCCTTAACTTAACTAGGGAGTGCAATAATTCGGCCCAAGTCTACTGATTATATAAATGATACAGAGCCCTCGAACACATCCAGTATTTCTGAAATTAATTTGAATGAATCCAACGACAACAATATAGTGTGTGATGATATTAGTGGTCAACAGTCAAGAGAAAATGCTGTTAACAAACATCAAACAAATCTTAGTTTTAATCTACAAACTGGAGGTAAGTCCATTCTTAAATACTACAATAAATTTAAAAATGTTCTCTACCTAATAACAATAAATAGCATACCTAACTAAAAATTAAAATAACATTTTTATTACAATTATAAAACTATCCTTTTAGTATTAACATAAAATATTGAATAATTTATTGTTCATGCTAACACTTTTATTATAATTAATTTTCTCTTTTTCCTTAACTTAACTAGGGAGTGCAATAATTCGGCCCAAGTCTACTGATTATATAAATGATACAGAGCCCTCTAACACATCCAGTATGTCTGTAATTAATTTGAACGAATCCAATGACAACAATATAGTGGGAGATGATAAAAGTGTTCAATATGCAAAAGAAAATTGTGCAGACAACAATACTCAACAATCAGCTTCTTTTAATCTAAGTAGCGTAGCATATTTTATTAGACCGCCTTGTAATGAAACAGTAGAAGTCAAATTAGCCTTTTTAAAAAATCACCCTATTCAACCTTTTGTATTAATGAATGATAAACTTTCATTTGACCCCAATAAGGTCTATTATCAAAATATTGAAACTACAAATGATCAAAATAAAGATAAAATTCCACGTAAATGGTTGTCTTATTGTTCTTACACTAAAAAAGTATATTGCACTACTTGTATGGCATTCTGCCCAATACGTGAAAAAATTAGCAATTTAATATCTGGACTAAATGTTACTAATTCTAAAAATGTCTATAATACATTAAAAATACATGAATCATCACAAGCACATCGTGAAGCAGTTTCTGCATTGCTCAGAGCAAATTTAAAAAAAAGCATCGGTAATTGTATTGATTTTAATTTAAAAGAAATACATTCTAAAGAAGTAGAACATTCTCGTTTAGTTATTAAACGGCTAATCGATATAATTTTGTTTATTGGTAGACAAGGAATATCTTTCAGAGGTAAAGATGAAGCGGCTTATAGTTTAGAAGATAAGTCTGTTAACCATGGTAATTTTTTAGAACTTGTGATGTTACTTAAAGATTATGATGTTGTGTTAAATGAACATGTTAAAAAATGTATAGAGTTAAGCAAAAGACGTAAAGAAAAAGAAATGAATAATAAGTTTTCCCAGGTCCATGGTCATGGAAGAGGATCTTTGGTCACATTTTTATCAAAAACATTTATAAATAAACTCATATTAGCAATTGGTCAAATAATGCAAGAAAGCATAGTCAATGAAATTAAAAAAGCCCAAATTTTTAGTATCCTTGTTGATTCAACTCAAGATGTCGCAGTCTTGGATCAACTAGCTATATGTGTAAGATATACTTTAAAAAATAATGTTTATGAAAAACTTTTAAAACTAACTATTGCTCATGATTCTACCGGTATTGGCTTATTTAATTTAATTAAAAGTGAATTTTTTAAACTAAATATTGATATGTCAAAAATTGTTGGTTGCTCTTTTGATGGTGCTGCTAACATGAAAGGTGCCTATAACGGTTTACAGTATCATTTAAAGAGCATTAATCCATTATGTATATATACACACTGTTATGGACATGCTTTAAACTTGGTTATGGTAGATTCAACTGAGTGTTGTCAAAATGCTGAAATGCTTTTTGGTTTAGTACAACAATCTGCCACATTTTTGTCTGATTCACATAAAAGAACAAAAGTTTGGTCTGATTTAACCAAAAAAACACACAAATGTCATGATAAGCTAAGAAAATTAAATTTGATTGGAGCCACTAGATGGTGGAGCAAAGACAAAGCTTTAACTTCTATAATACAATTTAATGAGCCTAATATTGAAAATTCTCGGTTTTTACTATTCATACATTTTTTATTACAAATAATTTCTAAGGATTCAAAATTTGACGCAAAAACTAAATTTACTGCACGCAATCTTTTGAAACTTTGGTCTAAATTTGAAGTTATATTCACTGCGGCCATTTATATTGATATTTTTAGTGTAAGTTCTCCTGTTTCTACATTTTTGCAGTCTCGTTCATTAAATTACCTTACGGCTTTTAACATGACTAAAAACTTATTACATGAAATTAAAAAAAGGAGAGATAATTCTGATCAAAAATTTATTAAGCTTCATTCTGATGTCCATAATTTTATACAAAAAATTAATAATGCATTGGTATCAAATGGTGATGATTTTATGATAAAAGATGATTTTAGTAAAAAATGTTTAGAGAAAGTTAGAGTAGCTAAAAAAAAAAAAATGCCAGGAGAACTAGCAGCTGATGAGAGACCTTCTCTTTCATCAGAAAACCGATTTAAAGTTGAAACATATAACTATATATTAGATGTTATGACATCTAGTATAGAAAAGAGGTTCATCAGTAACTCGGAGTTACTTAAAGATTGTATCTGTCTAGATCCTAAAAATTTTAAATCTATTAAACATGGTTTGCCTGATAATTCCCTAGTTAAACTTGGTGAATTAACTAATATAGAAGTTAATATTTTAGCTTCAGAATTACACCAATTTGCTATTCAATTTGATGCTATAACTAAAACTTTTGAAGAAACAATGTCTGATACTGATGATCAATACCATGACTACGAATCGGATTCTGAAAGAGAACTATCTACTAAAGAAACATTAGATTGTAAAGTTTGTAATAATTGTTTAAGATGTGCTTTTAACATTTTACATGATATGGTTCAACAATCATGTAGTTTCAATAATATTTACTATGCTTATAAATTTGTGTTGACATTGCCATGTACTCAAGTGACATGTGAACGCACATTCTCAAAATTAAAAAATATAAAAACCAAACTAAGATCTTTGATTTCACAAGATATTATGGAAACATTATTACTGATTAATATTGAAAGAGATTTTATAGTTGATAAAGATATGGTTATCAATAATGTTGCTAAAAGTTCAACAGAACTAACTAGAATATTGTTTTAAAATAAGTTTATAATTATAATTAGTAATCCAAAATTGTTTGTATTGAATAATTATTATATTTTGAAATTTTGTTATAACTACTTATGTGATGTAGGTTGGATTTTTTATTAAAAGGAAGTATGACAAAATTTGACTTGTTTTTCTTCAAAATTATATTAAAAAAAGCATTTTTGAATAGCTTCAAAACATTAATTTAATTAAAAGTCCCAAATGGCCAAATATATGTATGCATGTATATATTTATATATATGTACCAGATTAAACTTTTATCTAAAAAAAATGGCTTTTGGGGGCCCTTTATAGAGATTGCTGATGGGGCCTTTTGGAGTCAGTCCGACACTGGTGATTTGCATAATATTTAGAAAATAATGTTTCAATCTCATATATAACTATGTTTGTATAAATCATACCTATGTTACAATTGTTTATTCATAATATATATATACTTATATAATAGCAAATTAGTAGACTTATCTTTTTTATAAATTAAATACCTACCTATCAACCAACAATTTTGAATATTTAGCGGCAACCAAAAAAAAATTACTAATTAGGTAATGAAACTCAAGGCAGTAACTGGAAAGTAATAACGGGAGTATATATTATATATCTATAATGGTAAGTACTAACTTACATTCAAATGTTATAAAATAGGTTGAAAAAGGTAAAAAACAATGAGTCGAATAATTTGTTTTTAATATTTATTTTAATATAAATTAAGTCAATGTTTTAAGCTGTTGATACCACTTTTAATATGGATAAGATGTGTTTTTTATTTGTAATTGAAGTAATTTTTTTTAAAAAGTTAAAAAAAAATTGTTTCATTGTTTGTGTCATAATCATAAATCTTGTACTTATTGAATTGTAAAACACATTGAATTGTTCTAGCATTTTTTATAGTTGAAGTAAATCATACTATTGAACCAACAGTAATTCCAAATGAAACAATAAGTGATTCAGTGGATGTGTTTGATGATTTTAGTGTTGTCTTGGATGATAATGAAGATCTTGCAATGATCAATAAAAATTTAATTTTTATATTTTATCAACTATTAGACAGACAACTCACCAAAGTAACATGATGAGTGATCTGACGCGTGATATGACACGTGATTTTATAGTAACATGTTACTCCCGAAATTTGTTATTGAAATATAGTGATCCGTACACCGATCAAACATGTCAGAATCTGCGTCAGTTTTGAATCATATCTGAAGTTTTGTCCGTGACCAAAGTGCTGCTTGCACTACTTTTGGCATTCGTTATTTACTCGTCACTGAGCCTACATTGTACGTTATTTCAAAAAAAGATATATTTTGTATAGTACTAGGTGTTTTGACTAGGTAAGTACTAAGTAGGTATTATAAGTTAATATCATTATATTATCAAATATTATTATATATATATTATATTATAATATTATCATATTATTTTATTTATTTATTCATGATAATTTACTTTATTTATTACTTATAAATTATATATATATATATATATATATTATTATCTATATTATATATTTATATTATTATATTACTTATAATATAGAAAATATAATTTGTAGAATATAAATCGTTAAAATATACACATTATTTTATAACTTAAATATCAATTATCATAACAACATACAGGCATAATAAAAAAATTCGTGTTATAGAGAATAAATTTGGTTCTGATTTTATTTGGTTCAAAAAAATATTTTGTAAGGTGAAATATGTTATTAAATGTAAGTTTTGTAGGCAATACAATTTATCTATGCCATATTATCTTTAGAACCTCTAGAACCGTATACATTGTTGTATAATATAATTGTAAAATAAGTATTAAAAATGTATAGAAGTATGAAAGACGATCCGGATACCAATGTACAATTTGTACAAACTGTGGAAATGTTTCCTTGTTTGTATCACTACACAACAAAGGAATATTCTAATAGAAATGCACAAGATTAGACGCCAACAGTAAGAAAAAAAAATTATTCATTATTAACTGTTATAAAGTAATGAGATATTTTTTTAAGTAGTTACCTAGTAGAGAACTATATTATGTATAATAATGTAATTTTACAGCATACTGTATAGGTACATGAAAAAAACAATTTTCTGTATTTATAAGTTAAATTAAGTTTAGGTAAGTATAAGTAATTAATTAGATTACAAGGTATTGAAAATTATTAAATTGTATACTTATTTTGCCAAGGCAATGCTGCTTATGGTTTCACAAAATACTGGCAAAGTCTTTCCCTTATTTCCATCGCTGAGTAAGAAGGTCTCGTTCTATTGTTTTCTATATTTCCCTCAGTATCTTCATATAACAAATAGATATTATCTTGCTGAATTCCTTGTGGAATTGAGTACGTACCATCATGCACTAGAATCAAGTTATGCAAAACGCATATAGCTTTTATCACTATTTCAATTTTTTCAGTTTTAAAATTGATGGGTCGTTCCAATATTCTAAATTTAGATGCCATCATTCTAAACGCACACTCCACTGACTTACAACCTCTGGATAATCTAATAATATTAAAATAATATGGAATTTACTAGTATTTTAATCATTAATTTGGTTTTAAAATAATAAATTACCTGTCATTAAAAATTCTTTTTGTATTCGTCAATGAACGTCTTGGATAGGGTCTCATAACGTTGTCGAGTAGGGGAAATGCCTCATCTGCAACGAAGTAATAGGGAAATGTTGGATCGTTTTCTTCGTGTGGCAAACAAGCATTTTCGGGAAGGTTGAGTTTTTTTTAAAATAATAATTGACCAAATGCAGATTCTTTAAGAACTTTTGAGTCGCTGCTCCGACCATATTCTCCTACATCAATAGTGATAAACTTTCCATCAGCGTCTGCTGTAGCCATTAAAACAATTGAGAAATATCCTTTGTAATTGAAAAATGACGATCCTGAATTTACTGGTGCCTTAATTCGTATGTGCTTGCCATCTATACTACCAACACAGTTTGGCAAATTCCATAGCTCATTATATCGATCAGCAATAGTTTTCCACATTATTTGATTAGGTATAGGCATGTATAGAGGCTGTAAAACTTCCCATAGGGCTTTGGATGTAGTTTCTATGATATTACGAACGGTCGTTTCACCTCTCAAAAAATAATATGAAATTGATCTCATTGAAACTTCTCCAGAAAAATACCTATACATAAAGAAAACTCTAGATTCAATATTTCATATTTTATACTAACCTGAAAAATGAAATAGTTTTTGTTGTACACAATATTTAAACATTTTTTTTTTATTATTAATAGTTTTTAGACACTGTAGACACAATATAAGTACATTATAACATTATATATATATATAAAATTTTTATTTTTTTATAAGTATATAGGTAATATTAAAAATTAAAAATGTAATCAAATTTATTTTGGGAAATTTAAAAATAGGCAATTTGTAACCTACCAAACAAAACACAAATAATTATGATGATAAAAACATTTATTTTAGTCGAGTAATTGATTTTTTCACACTTTTAAAATATCAGTGTTTAATGTTTATTGCACAAGTATTCTTTTTATGACACAACCCTGATAAAAATTTTGTAATAATAATATTTTTAGTCAGTCGTTTGCTATCAGGGAAGTATATTTCTTAAATGATTTATTATCCATAATATAATTTCCATAGTTTTTTTGTATGTATCAATTATTATTAGACCTATAATCATTATTTTCTTATTATCTAGTACCTATTTTCAGTTTCAAATTTTTAAAGTTTTTTTTCTATAAATATCAATAAAATGTTATTTGCTGGGACAAAAAGCGTCAAAAATTAATACGAGGCTCCTAATATATTGTTTCAATAGCAGTTGAAAAATATAAAAAATAAAATGTCATAATTTTTTTTTAATAAGCATTTAAATTCGAATTTTATCAAAATTTATCAAATTTAAAATGTAATAATAATTTTGTATTTAAAAATTTATAAAATGTTCAACTTTTATACCAAATGATTGAAAATTAAAAACAAGGTTCTGTTTAATAGTTTATAATATATAAATTACTTTTCACAATATCATCAAATATATTAAAATATTATGTATTTAAATAGTGACTGAATGTAAAGAACGATGAAAAAATTTGAGAGCTTGCTTTACAAGGCATTTAAAAGCCAAACCTCCGTCGGGATCAGCTGCCAAGTTCAAAAAACCATATTATTTAGCAGAATTTTGAAATTTTCTCGAACCTTTTACGAAATCACGAAAACAGTCAGGTTAATAATTTTTTCATAGTATAACAAAAATATTAAATTAATATTAATTGTAAGATAAATTTAAAAAAAATATAAATCTCTTTTTTCATAGGTTATATGCCAGTTGTACAGCCCCCAAATAATGAATGTAGTGAGCAAAACGAAAGTATTGGTAATGTTTCCGAAAGTGAAGAAGACAACATTGACAATAATCCAATTGAAGATAACCCAAATGATTCAAATTCAAGTTTCGCTGAACCAAACACACAACAATGGATCTCTAGTACCAAAAGTTCATCTTTTCAGAAAAAACAACGTTCAGTAAGACTAGAAGAAGTAAACAACGCAGCTTTAGATTTTTTCGCAAAAAAAAAGAAGTCAGATTATCCTGTAGAACAGTGTTTCCCAACCTTTTTACCACCACGGACCACTTCGACAATATTTTATAGGGGACCACCTCAATTTTACGCAAACTAGGAAGACCTTTTTTTTTTTTTTTGCTCATTAACAAGAATACACAAAAATTTATTAAAATTTTTTTATTATTTTACTGTACTATTATATATAATTATTAAACTTTACTAATAATTTACTTAGTGTGATTTTTGTGGCTGCATTTCTTTGACCAATACCAGTTTTTCAATTCTCTGACCTACACACTTATAAAAGTGGAAAATACTTATCGGTCGTCAGCAGAAACAACGATAAGATAACCGTATATTACAAAAAAATAATTTTTAATAGAAAACTAAGAAAGGTACCACCTATGACTGGCCCACGGACCACCGGTTGGGAAACACTGCTGTAGAAGATGTGCATTTATGTTTCTTTAAAAGTTTATTACCGGATATGAAACTTATGAATCCTGAACAAAAAAGGCGTTTTAAAGTTGGAGTGTTAAGTTTAATTGGAAACATACTAGATGAACGTAATATTCTGAACTATTATGAACGTAACGGACTGAGGAAAATATTTACCAAGCTGGATATAATAGAGAATATCAGAACATGGAAAATTATATTATTTACTCTACAACTCCAACAAGTTTATCTTCTCCTTCAATATCAATGCCCATATCGGCTCCACTGGATTTAGTACAGCAGTCTACTAGTCTACAGTTGAATCAAAACAACTCTCAAAATTGGTCGTATAATAAATGAATAATTATTACACAAAATACCAATGAATACTTAAATATTATATGTTATTGTTATTTTAAAACAATATTTTTTATTATTATTTCAAATCAAAAAAAAAGTTTTTTTATTATTATTTACTAATTTAAATGAAGTTGTTTTTATAATTTTGATTTTCTTTCGATTTGTTTTATAATATAAAGTAAAAAAAATTTAGTTTACATACAGATTAATAAAGGTTATAATTTATTGTTATAAACTATTAAGTAGGCGTTCTCGAGGACACACTGAACGCCTATAATTGGTATCCCTTTTTTGAATTTTAGATCCTACAAGTTCAGCCAACATATAAAAGTTTTTTCTCCATTCGATAGAAAGTTTGAAAACTTCAAGATCCACGTCCACGACAGTTTTCACGCCAAAATGGATGAACCCAATAATTTCGATCTCTTTTATGATTTGCGTTTAAAATATTTAATAAGTTCAAAGCACATAACGCGTTTTCTTCGTCTGAACTCATCTTGAGTAGTGAAGTAGTAGTGTAAAAATGCAAAAGGGTCATGCAAGAAAAATATAACGTCAGTTGTATTATCATTTCGATTAGTGCATTTGTGTCACACGTTATGTCACTCGTCACATCACGTGTCTTATCACTAGTAACATTGAAAGTCATGTTACTTTGGTGAGCGCTGCGCCTTAAGTTTACAAACATTGTTGAATCAATGAGATGAGATTTGTAATATATCTTATTGGTTATAGTAAATTAACATTTTCATGTAAACAAATAAACTTTTTGAAATTAAAATTTTAGTTGTTATTGGTGAAAATAACTATTTGGTGACTGACACAGTAGTTGAAAACACTGTATCAAATCAAACATTTAACCAGTTATCTTGTGTACCAGAAGACAGTTTTAAAAATGATTCATTACAACAGCCAAGTACTTCTAATGCAGTTAATCATAAGCCATCTTGGACTCCTATTGATTCTACTAAACTGTTGAAGTCAACTGGAAAGCATCATAAACTCACAAGTATGTAAAAACTTAAAAGTTATGTGTAACTGATATTAAGAACAACATTTTGAATTTTAGGTGGCAATCTAAAACGGAAGAATAATTGTCAGACACTGTTAGTGAGAAGTTTGCATTATTAGCGGACAAAAAATTAGAAGTTGTCGAACTCCAAAAATCAATCTTGACAGAAGAGTTGCTTTTTTTAAAAACAAAGCATGCATTGAATTAAAATCAATTGAATTAGATATATCTGTAAAAATGCAAAAGTTAAGTAATGAAAAAACAAATGAAGAATATCAGTTCTAAATATTGTTGACTGAAATGTAATAACAAAGACTGTAGTTGTATATAAATAATTAAACTATGAAAATTATATCATATTACATTTTTCTAATACTATTATAAGTGTGCAAAATATTCGTCTATTAACTGTTGTCGTGCATTTCCTTCTTCTAATATTTCTTCTACTATATTTACATATTCATTTCCTGGTTAGGTTAGATGAGGTGGATTTAGATCATTGTTTTCAGTTGCTATATTATGTAAAACACAAGAAGAAACTATTACGGCTTGAGTTGTCTCTAACTTTAATCTTAATCCAAAAGATAATGCTGGAAACCTTCGTTTTAAAACTCCATAAGATCTTTCCACAGGATTTCTCGTTCTTATAATTGATTCATTATACAGACTTTCAATCTCATTTCGAGGGTTAATAAATGGTGTGACAACATGATGGGAATTAGTATAACCACTATCAGCAACTATCACACTATTCCCCCATTTGCCATTTATTAATTCAACAAACACTTTTGATTTTTTAAATATTGTCTGGTCATGGCTAAATCCTGGCCAACGAGAAACACGATTTGATCACTTTGTGTAGTACTCAGTGTCAACAAAAGCACAATTAAATCGATATCTTCTCCGATTACGATAACTTTTCGATAATTCTGAGTTTTTTGAATAGCTGTCAGTACAATAAGTGTATCAGCATCGTCCTCAGATTGAATTACACCAACGTCAGAATTTAAAAACTTCTCCGTCAATATCGCTATTAAACGAATTTTGTTTTGGTCGCTGGATAAAAATTTTTCCTGTGACGTTTGCACATCCATAGACTCGTTTATGAATACGTCAGTGCTTTTATTGATGTTTTGTCGCCGATGTCTTTCTGCACTTTTAATATTACTGTTACTATTTGTATATCCATCAAAGATAACTATACAATTAGCCCCCCATAGTGTCTTTTTACATAAGTTAAATAACATTCAAAAATACTCCCGTACTTCACATTTGAAGTAAAAACAACACGGTGCATTAAAAATCCACCATCAACAACAATTGCAATATTTTCATCTAAGATATTGAACGTGTTTGGTAAAGATGGGAAAATATCATATAATATTGATTTTTTTGTTTTTCTCATTTGACCTGTTTCGTCAATCAATGAGAGTGGCATAGGTGCTAGCTCATACTTAAAACATTCTTTAAGGTCTTCATCTGATTTAACTTTCAACATGATTCGTTGAAAGAGTAACAGAGGGTCAATTGGAATAATATCTTCTCTGATAAAAATGCTGGTCTTATTTGAATACTCCAACGAGACTACGCGATTCATTCTTTTCAACTTAACGTCACTTACATTTTCACCTATAATACTGCATACAATTTGCTCACCTACTTGTTGTGCTTTGTAGCAGTTAACTTTTTCATCTCCTACAACACCCGTGGATAGTGACATAAGTTCATTTAATTCAGGAAAAGGATAATGTGTTTTTAACCATGATGTAATTTTATCGGAATGTTCACAATCAATTTTTATCCGGGAATCCAGTTGGTCGACATGTTGTTCTGAAGCATAATTGAAAACGTTGGAAAATTCTTCTATTTGGTTATTGATGGAAGTTGCAATTGGAGTACCTAGGAGCCAGCGATTAAGTACACTAACTTGGAGACCTCGACCACTTATCAAACCACCGGATGCTTTCATAGATCGCATTAAACTTTGTTCTATTGTCATATCAGTCCACGTTCCACACCAAAATTTACTTGACCTTTTTATAGTAAAGTAACCTTCTTTACAAAATGTATGAAATTCTATCAGACACATATGATGTTGTAGCTGATACATATCTTGAAGATAAATATGAGCCGATTTGGCATACTGAAAATGACCAGAAGAATGGAAAAAGTGAATCATAGCCCTTCCATCTTATCAAACAACATCTTCACACTAAATTGGCATTCATTTTCGTTTTCAATAAAATCGCACAAATTGGAAAAAGCATTTGCCAACCGTTAGTCATGCGGTCGCCCCCTTTTTCTATTTTCGATGGATGGAAACTGATTGCAACATTTTCGTTCACATGCCTTATGGTATTTTGCCTCTTCAGCAACTAAACAAATAACACTATTTATCCGCCTAAGTACTTCTTTAGCCCAATCGTCAACTCTTTTATTCTCCACATCCAATATTGATTGTTTGAAATGGAGTGTAGAAACATTAACGACAGTATCACGACGGTCTTTATTTAATTTAATTTCTAACTCTTTTGAACATGGGTGATCGCAAAATGAACCATTTTCTTTAAATTTAGATAAATATTTAGAACGTAACTGACCTTTTACCGGAGTTCCTGGTTCGTTTTGATCGTTAACACGTTTTTGAATGGTTTGAGGTCGTGTGTAGTTTTTGCGACAAACAATATGAACTTTAATACTTTCTAAACCAACTAAAAATTTCCATTTATTATCATGTCGTGCTTTACTTGAGTTTATTAAAGCCATTACACCTTTTTGCTTCACTATGACGCACTCACTTTCGACATTTAACTCGGTATCGCAAATAAAACAAGAATTAGCCATTACAACAATTATATTAGGAAAAACGATTTGCAACTGAAAAATATTAATTCTATAATACACGGTGTTATAACGTAGCTGCACACAACGAACTGTACGACGTGTACATTAATTGGTGGTCACTGGACATGAATAATTCGCATGGACGAAAAACTGAGATTAGATAAAATCAATTATACCGTTCACAAGACTATAAATATCAGATAACTGTATGCTCCTTTCCAGACATTCTAAATTTAGAACTATACCGTTCAAAAACTCTAATCGTATAATACACTAACGTATCATCTTAATCTATTAATTTATTGTCTGATAAAAGTCAATAGTTGTTGAATACGTATAAATTAATGTGTACCAAAATTCAGCTATCGCTGAACTTATTAGACTATATTATTATTTTACAAAAGTGTTAAATATTCTAGAATCGCAAATAACAATAGCACACCGCCACAAATATCAAAAAATGTCGAGACTACGGCAATGTATATAAAAAAAAATAAAAATCAGAATATTATGTAAAATTATTAGGTATTCAATTTTTGTAAAGGTTATTTTGACGTACAAACAGTAGTTTTAGCTAAAAACTAAAAAAACTAAAAAAATTTTTTTTTAATTAAATTTTTTTCAAAAAAATTTTACTTACCGCTATTCCGTTATCATTTAAGTATACAAAATGACATATTTCTATGGACAATTTTACGGCCTTTAATTTTTGTTCTATACTTTTTAGCTGTAAGTCTAAAATTAAACAAGTTATAGTGTAAAATTGAAAAGAGGGTACGCACCCCCTTTTTAAGGGATGGAGAGCTATGCACAAATGGTATGTCTGGGGACTTTTAGTATGTCAATCAGTAAGCTATGGACTGAAAATGTACCAAAATTCAGCTTTCAAGGAATTAGTTCCAATCTTTGAAGGTTTTTTTGTCTAATTTGACTGGACTAATGTTATAGTTTTAAAATTGTACTCCTCATTTAAAGTGACACACTAATTACAGCGACAAAGCTGTATTTATTTATCCATATTTTGTAATGGACATGGCAGTACTTTAATGGAGGAGATACTTATTTAAATTTTATTAGGTCTGGACATTTTTATAAAGAGAGCTGTTATTCAATACTTTTACCAAAGAAACATTACAGTCTAGAT